AATGAACGAAAAATAACTCTTCGATTTATCTTAATTGTCCTCTAATTGTTTTATTTCATACACACAAAAATAAACATAGATTCTTAACAAATATACATATAAATTTTCACTTAAATTCATCTTTCGTTTTTTTCTTTTTTATTAGTTTAAGCAAATGAGAAAAAAAACATTCATAAGGAAAAATTCCACATAGTAGCAAAAAAAAAAACCAGGAAAATTCGTCACATAAAAAAAAAAGCAAACAACAATAACAAAGTACAACCGTTTTTTTTTTAAATTTATTGATTTAATTTTCATCTTTATTTGGATTATCATGCGTAAGAAATAATGTATGTTGAGCACCAACAGCTATATTAAGAATCATTTTAATATCCACATATTTTGATGACATCATACGAGGAATTTTAATATCTGGTTGACCATGACCATGTTGTAATGATGTACCAGCACCAAATGAAAAAACTTTACCAGATCGATCAATAACAAATGAAACATGATTACCACAAGAAATATCAATTATATTGGATAAATTGGGTATAAGTGTTGGTTCACTTAAATGTTTTGTTAATTCATCAATACCCAATTGACCTTCATGATGTCGACCCATTGAATAAACTTCACCTTAAATAATAAAAAAAAAAAAAAGAAATATTTATTTAGAAATTTTTTTTTGTTTTGTTACCATTAGCAGTTAAACCAAGTGTATGATGAAGTCCACCGGAAAATTTTATCCATTTTTTACCTTCAAGTGAAGGAATAAATGTTGGAAAATAAACTGGTTCATCTAATGGCAAACCTTAAAATTACAAAACAAAAATTTCAATTTGATTTTTGTTTTTTCTTCAAAATTTTCTATTTACCAAGTTGATTAAAATTATTTAAACCACCACCTAATATCCAATCATGACCATGAACTTTTAAAAAGAAATGATGTGAACCAGAAAAAATATCATCAAATAATAAATTTTTAGCTTTTATTCCTATTCGATTATAAATAATTGGTGCAGGTTTAATTAATCGATCTAAAAAAAAGAATAACTTTTTATCATTTTATTTTTCGTTTAAAGTTTTACCGATGCCTCCTCGTAATCCATCTTCAGCTGCATAACGATTTAATCTTGCAAGTTGACCTGTTTCACCATTACCACATGAATAAACATGTCCAGTCTCACTTAGAAATAAAACAAAATCATAACCACTAGCTAATTTAACAATTTTTTCTGGTAAAATTATTTCAACTGGTGTTTTAGCCATTACACCTTTTTTTACAAGACCATACACACCGGTTGTACTTGAACGAAATGTACCCCAACCTATTCAAATCATAAACAAAAAAACAAAAAGAATAACTTATGAATGAACTTTCTTCCATGTCCTCTGCTAATTTGAATAATTTAAGTTCCTATTGGGATTTTGACTAATGAGGGAACTTCTCCTAGTGTGAAATCGCTGTTCGACCGAGATGACGTTCATTTGATAAGTAATAGAAAAGTCTAGAATGGTTTGATTTCCCGAGTCTTCGTTCTTGAGATATCGAATTTTTCGTCCCATAAGGAAACATGAAAATTCGACGTCAAAAAAAAAACAAACTAAAACTTATACAATAAACTGGTCTTATTGCGAACTTTGTAGGTGTAAAGTTTGAAGTCGCAAGTCGATTTTCGAACTTCTCTATTACTCATCAAATATACATTGTAAGATGTTCTCTCGTCAACTATTGATATTTTCTCGAGGAACATCTGTTTGAGCTGGATTTTTCAGGATACCATAAGAGCTATTGTTGGAAAATTATTGAAATTGAAAGAGGACATCTAACAAGGTTCCCTCGTTAGTGAAGAAGAACTTTTTTTAATTTACCATAAACTTTTCCTGCATCCGATAAAACTAATGTATGACTATCTCCTGCAACAATTTGAGTAATTTTTTCTTGATTTATATCCATAACACCACTCATATCAACTAATTCAAATTGATCAGCTTGATCATCATCATCATCATCAATTGCATTATCAGGTCTACCCAATGCATGTTCATCATTACAACCAAATGTATATATTTGATTTTTTTCTGTAAGACATACGGAATGAAGTGGACCACAAGCTATTTGTATAATAGGTTCAGGTAATGGAACAGGTTGTGGATTTTGTCGTTGACTTATAGCACTTTTAAGACCTAATTGTGCCATACCATTATCACCAACAGCTAATACTTGACCACCTTTCGAAAGTGAAAATGATGGAAATGTTACATTTATTACAGATGATGCTGATGGAGTTTTTGCACGAGATTTTATTTTTGTTGTATAACCATCTAAAATAATAAAAACTAATAATTATTTATTTTATATCTAAAGAAAATAAACATACTTGTCATATGAACAATTTCAGGTGCTGGTTTTGTACGTTTTTGTGGATGATGATCATCATTTTGAAAATCTATGAATGAATATTTTTGTTTTTCTTATATTTTTAAGAAAATTAATTAAATATAACAAACCATCTTGATGATCACTGTCTTCTAGTGAACGTTTTTTTGATTTTGTTGATGATATTTGTTTAGTTTTTGTTGATGATGTTCGATTGACTTTTTTTCGAGCTAGAATTGTGAAAGAATTGCATTGAGATTGAAAAGAAAATAGTCATTTACCTGAAGTAGGCATTGTGAAAAACAGAAAACAATTAAATAATCTAAAAGTTTAAACATATATATAATAAACGATTGAGTCATAAAATTAAACGTATGAAACAATAGAAGATTGATGTTTATAGAATAAACTTAAATGTAATTAATCAATTCAAGCTGTATATTTATTTTTTATATTTACTTTTATTTTGATTCCTCATAAACAAAGAACAGTAAATGGCGAGTCATAAATTGTCGTATTATATAAAAGGTTTTCTAGATGTCGCTTGCTATCATTTATTATATCAAATATTGTATGTGAAAAAATATACAGAAGATATTTTTTTTTGTACAGATTAAAGATATATACATCTTTAAATCTAAGTTATCATGTGATACATTGAAGTGTTATTAACTTATGACGAAATAATAGATCAAGAAAGATATTGTGAAACTGAATTGATACATATTTATTTATTAAAAATGTAATATATTTTTAATACACATGTTAGTGCATGCCGTTACATCGAAATCATAGTTATTTAGTAATATATCAATATATGATGATGGTATCATATGAAATACTATTGCAATAACATCTATCAACATGTCATGACATAGCGAATAACAAGTGTAAACTGTGGAGATATCTATCACGTCAACTGATCGCTGTTTACAGACGACATTTTATATTAACATGTACTCCGTAAGATAATTATGGGTTCGTTTTTTTCTTGCAGAAGCATAGTATTCGAAGATGTTGTAGAATAGTAAATAATTACTGATAACCTACGATGTAAAAGTAACTGTCGAAATGCCCTACCATGGATTTGTCCAATCAGGAATATCATCGAGAGTCAATTTTATTTTTTAATTAAAAATATACAAAAAAAAAGAAGAAATAATAAAACCAACAAATATCATATAAATCATTACGCCACATAGAGTATAAAAGCTAAGAAATGCAAATTTTTTGCTACGCAATTTTGGGCATAACACTTTTTATTCTACCAGATTTCAAACAATTATCAATTGAACGTACCTGAGACACAATTGTTATATTTTTTTCGCTTAATCAGCTAAGGATAATACCAGCATAAGAATCTTATCACTAGGTAAGTTCCTTTCCAACATTTCTGGAGAACGACTCAATGAAAAATGATGAAAATTTTAAGGCAGATAGATCTCGATAAGTAAAGCAGTAGTTGTCATGCACTCAAAATTTCCAGATGCTTCCTTCAGGTTCAGGGAGATATGGAAGGTTGTAAAAGCGAAAAATGGCCAGAAGTCCCTTGCATTTAATAGTATTAAGTTTTCGATCGGACATACCGTGCGAGAGAAAAGGGGGGAAGCAATCTCGTTGTTTTTCGTTCGAAAATTGATGTCAAGGAAAATACAAAACAAATTTTCCTATATTTATCAAGACTCTTTTTTTCCAACTCAATTGGTCGAAAAACTGGTAATGTGATGGATCTATGACCTGTACTCTAAGTACCTTTGGAATGAGAAATAATCATTATCATTAGGAGAATTTTGTATAGAAAAGAATAATCGTAGCGCGAGCTTTTCTACTGGAGGTTCCGAAAGTTGGATTTAATAAAGTATTAAATAACAAAGAGGACCACTCATTTACATGGCATTTGACATAGTACACTTCGAGGTTATATTAGCAATGAAAAACTCCAAATCGAAAAAATTTCGATTTTCATGCCCAGAAAGAGAGATTCTCCTTAAACCAAAATATTTTCCATCGTCCAAAATCATATCACAATCATTTAGAATCATTCTGTAGGATTTACTACGGACTCTTCTAGTTCATTTTTCTTAATCTTCATTTTTCATCTTTTGTCTTTTTCTGATGACATATATCGAATAGTTCTTTCCGGTATATTATATTTTTTGAAATAATGAACGATTGTTTTCACACTCTTATTTGCTGCATCTTTATGAAAATTGCAGACATATCTTAGAAGTTTTTTTCTTTATTGACATGTCATTGAATTCAAAAAATATATATCTACAAATAGTATACCACTTGGAAGTTTATAACATGTTCTTTTAAATAAAAAGAAAAAAAAAAAGAATTAACTCTCCACAATAATGCTGAGCGAAATATAATGTCTGAACATTTCAGCAATTAATTTTGCATTGTAGATTAGATATATAATTAGAAATTTTATC